AGGCTTCAGCAGAGACTAGGGTGAGAAGAAAGCACGCACTGAGCAAAGAGGGAATTTATTCAGGGAATAAATACAGCTGATTCTGCTCTCTGCAGATAAATAGAGTCCTGATAAACAGAGTTGGAAATAGTATTTCAAAAAGTAAGCATTACATGTAAATGTACCCAGAGCATGATTCTAGAACAGCACCATGAGCAAATAATTCCCACCATCAAACTTACAGAAACCGCTACAAGCCCATTGCCAAGTTTGGCTCCCTACCCTTTCCTATGATTGTGCAGGAGGATATATATAAAAGCTGAGGGTTTCACATCAGCTGAGAGTTGAGAAAGCTGTTAGAGCTCCCTCATCACTTTTGGAAGCTCCTAAAAGTAATTATATAGAGAAAAAAATCATGTAGAAGCAATCGATACTGCTGTCTGTCTGCCTGTTTTACCCAAGCCATGTCTCAGGATCTCTGTCCACAAGCAGAGACTGCCCACTCCCTGCAGTTTAGGAGGTTGACTTTTCACAGACAAATGGATGGGCAAATATATTGCAATGGCTGGTGAAAAATGTAGAAACTGGGGAAGAAAATGCAGGAGCACAGTGAGAAAAAGTATTAGAAGTTAAAAAGACACTCTGGATGGCTAAGAAATAGATGGTAAAAAAATTCTCTAAATCAGAAGGAAGAATTAGCAGAAATCCAAATAACTGCACATTGCCATCCTTAAAAATTGTGGGTGAACATAACCAGTCTGAATAGAAATAAAGGGGTTACTACAAAAAGAGCTGAGTCTATGATGTCAAATACAAAAATGAAATACAAATTCTGCTCTTCATTGAATGATTTAATTTCAGAATGACTTTCCCACTAAAGTTAATTGCATTATACCACTGTAAGCAAGTATAGATCTGGAACTACATACTGTTCCTGAAATGTTCAGGCAAACCTACTTATTTTGTTAGCATCTTCCCCTTTGGAAATTTCCATAGCTGTGTAAACTAATTTAACAGCTAAATTGCACTCACTGGATCAGTAGCATCATCAGAGTTGCATTGTACATAATCGCGTCCTACCAGAAAAATGGGACTGAAGCTGCCTCATGTTAACCTTACTCTGAAAATAAAAATTGTAATACCATTGCGGGATACTCTTTAACATGCTTATCCCTATGAAGTTCCTCTGACAGTAATACTGGAGAACCAGGAGAATGATTAGGACTGTTGAGACTGGATGTGATGAGTACTGAGTATGTTGTCTAACGATTTACCATTCTGTGACCCTATTTTCAGTCACTACTAAGATTTTCCCCAGCTAAGCATTTAAGCTGAAATTTCCATGCCGATCCATACCGATTTTAGGTGGAATATGACTTGTAGATTAACCTGGTAGCCCAGCAGACAGAATATAATTTCACCAACTCGAATGTGTTCAGAGAACAGAGGTTAATAGACTGCTCCCTGGGCAGCTTCAACAGGTCTGTTCTAACTACCAGTAGCTAAACCTTGTGTTGTGTTATGTTACCTAACTGAGAAAATGGAACTTGTAGCTGAATGATGTTCCCCAGGTATAAAGTCAGGGTGTTGATTCAGTGACAGTTTAGAAGGGAAAATGTGGTGTATCGAAGTAACATCCCTGCTCCTGTACTCTTCCTCGTGAATGTGCACCAGTCATTACGTACACGAACTTCTAGAAGTAATGAAGGAACTGAAGTGTCACACTTCGTTTCATGGGGTTACACAAAAGGGGGGAAATATAATTTTGTAAGTGAATCCTGAAATGGCAAGTTTAAAAATTTACATCTAAAATATTCAGGAATCCAAACAGTCTAGGGAATCTTACTAGCACCTTCTTCAAAGCACAGCTTGGAAATAAACATAAAATGTAATTGTGGGGGTCACTCTTGTGACAATTCTAATCTGAAGTTCCTACAGCAATCAGAAACATTAAATCCACTGAAAAAAAGAGCTGGAGGGAGAATTGGCTCTAGTTTTAGTCCTCTCTCTCTCTCGGCAGGTTTCCTGTAAAAGCCTAATAGATAATTAGTATTATAACTGTTACAGTGGAGTACTCATTACTATTTTTTTTTTCATGTAAGAGCCATAAATAAGTCTGTATGCAGTTTGTTCCTTTTTTAATGGGTTAAATTATATTCATATAAGGATGGCTTCTTCGTTTATGAGTAAAACTAAATACGTACCAAAAAATGGGTCTGAAAATTCAAAAATTGCTGTCTTCTTTCAGGAAGAAAATCTACCTGTAATAACATGTTCCTTGTTAATCCTTCACTTTCCTCTGAAGGGTACCTGTGCACTATTGTTCCCACCTCCAAAATACTCACAGGGCTGTATAGGTATTTATTATCTCACTACTAAGGGTTATGATATTTAGTACACCTTAATCCTAAAATAATCTATGCCACTGTCTCCATGGACTGTTCAATGCAAAATAAATAAATAAATTGGAAATAAAAAGTTGGATTGCCTTCACTATAGAGATAAACACAGCCAAAGTATTGTCTCTAACTCAAAGTGTTGCCCATAAATAAAAGCCCTTAAAACAGATTGTCCTAGTGATTTTAGCTTGAGTCGGCTGTCCTGCTGAGATAAAATTAACTGCTAATGGAGCCTTTCTCAAGCCAAATCCATTCGAGGGGCATTCACCCTTCAGCACCTTCCAGAGATATATACATATATTTACAGAAAGAACAGATAGGGTTTTTTCTCACAAGGCACTGGAAAAAAATTTACAGTGCAATTCAGGATGAAGAACT